GGGTGGGCTGACCCCAAAAGACCAGGACCCTGGGATCCGTGCAACCAGGCCAGAGGTGGTCTCTCTGAAAGTCCCCGAGACGACGGTGAACTCTGAACCCCCGCTGAGACGTAAGGGGGAGCAGCCAGCCCAGGCTGAGCCGGGAAGCCCCTGGCCAAAGGGCCACTTAGAGATCAGTTGTTGTGCATCTGCCTCAACGCCGTGGACATTCATAAAATGCACAAAAACGTGCAGAGAGGAGACAGAGCCAACCTCCGGTTTCCACGGCAAAGCCTCCCGTGTGGGAGCGCGCAGGAGGGAACAGCTCCAGTCCGGCTGCCCGCAGGCCAAGGGGGTTCTCGGGGTCATGGACTCGGACGTGGGGAGGGCGGCAGCAGAGGGCACCCGGGACCCAGATCTGGCCCGCCAACACCCTCCTCCCAGGGTCTTCCTGGAGGGAGTGGAGGTCCAGGGACTGAAGTGAGACTCTCCGTCCCCCCCCACCAGCCCCACACGCCCTCTCTCCCTGGGGGAGGCCCACCGGGGTCTGTCCTGCCAGGCGCAGCCAGGAACCCCTGCGGTCCCACCGCCAGTGACCGGGAGCCCCTGGGGCTACTGGGCGCTTTGGGCCTCCAGCAACCAGAAGACTCCCAGGAACGGCCAGCCCACCTCCGTCCCCGCGGGCTGCTGCAGGCCGAGGCCCCAGGGATGAGCGGCTCGGGCCCTGGAAGACCTCAGGTCCTTTCTGTCCTTGTGTCTGCTGGGCCCCAGGCTCACAGCCGCAGGCCTGCTCGCGTTGGCTGAGAGCACGTTCCGAGAGCTTTGGGTGGGGGTTGGGTGTCCGAGGGGCTGGCAGCTCCTAACAGCTTCTGAGACAGCTTGTGTGAGCACAAGCACCCGCAGACGAGGAGAGACCACCCCTGCACCCCGAGGCCTGGCCCAGATCCCTGGGGCTCACACGAACCCAGCTCTGCCCACCCAGTCAGGCCCCCAGAGGCTGGCAGGTGTTCCAGACTCCTCAGTGTCTGCAGGAGCCATTTCTCATGTCTGTGCAGGTGGGGTCTCCACCAGGCCCTCCGCACCTGGGGGGACAGCTCCCGGGGCCCTGTCACTGTGGCCCCAGAGCTCTGTCCCACGCCCGTCCACCCAGGACAGCAGAGGATGGACAGAGGCCCAGCACAGGGTGGGGGTGAGTGGCAGGGGTGACGGGGGCGCCCACACTCCCACCCCCCAAAGACGAGGAGGCCCCTGCACGACTGGGGAAACAACTCACTTCAGGTCCCACCTGGGGATGCAGGACTTGGCCAGTCCACACGCGGGGGAGCCAGGGGCCTGGTCCCCAGGACCGCGTGGCCTCTGCGTGTGTGTTGTGAGAGAGAGACCACAGAGCACCCAGCCCACCGCACCCCGCCCGCGTCCTCGCACCTGGGCCCGCACACGCAGCGCAGGGGGCCCTGCCTCGGCAGCCTCGGGGCCTGTCTGAAGGAACCTGCTCAGATCAGACCCGTTACTGTGCCAGACTCTTCCACCGGGTCCTCTCAAGGAGTTGAGGCTGACGCCGCGGACTTCATCCCCACGCGTGGGGCGGGTTCTGCCCTCGTACCAGACTCCTCACCCGGAGTGTCTACCGGTGGGACAGCCACAGCCCACGCCGGCCCCTAACCGTCCGCGCTGACGCCCCCCAGCTGACTCCCAGGGTCAATCTGACGTGCCCGCTGGTCTCCCAGCCCCGCCTGCACCATGGCCTCAGGGTGTCTGTTTCAGATGTGGCCGGTGATGGCTCCTGGCCACTCGGGAAACAGAGGTCGGTCGCAGGAGTCTCTGAGTGTGTGATGCCGTGAGCCCCAGGGCCCCACCGTGACTTACGAGTTTGGCTGATCACAGAGGAAAAGGGGGAAAACTCCAAGTTGCCAAGGAGACCACTTCAAATACATTTTACAGTGTTGTGAAAAGCGTACCTTCCGAGAGGGTTGGGTTACACTCTGGGGCCTGTAAATCTGCCCCCACCCCACGGCGGGTGGGCCCTCGGCCACACAGCCGAACTCCCTCCACAGAAGCAGCGGTGGTCTCCGTCTCCCAGTCGCTCTCTGTAGGCCCCCAGGAAAACTCTGTGCAGGAAGCGTCGGGGCCCCTGGAGAGGTGCCGCCCCGCCCCACCCAGCACCTCCTCCTGGGGGCTCCACGGTAGGGTGTGGAGTTCGAGATTCTCTGCTCACAACACAAGACCTTAAAGCCGTGGCACCAGGTACTCCCTGGAAGGCGGAGACTGAAAACGGCTCTAACAGCGTTTAATGGGTGAGCTAGAGTGATGCCTGGCCCCGGAGCCCAGCCTGCCCGTCACATGCAGGAAACACAGGAAGCAGCGCTCACCCCACTTACACTGCTCTACACACGAGCAGGATGCTTGGACACACCCCCCCCCACACACACACAGCGAAGGCCCAGAACACTCAGAGCAAGGGTGCAGGCGCCAGCGGGACGCGGGAGTGAGAGGTGCAGCCGCCTCTCAGATCGGCCACTTGCTCTCCGTGTGTCCTTGGGGGAAGGTCGGCCCCAGAGGACACTGCGGGGCCCTTCACAGGTGTGGGCAGGCCGCATGATCCCTGCGGGGCTCACACAGCACCTGACTTGCCCAAAGTTCCAAGACACCAGCTCCGTTACCACAACTGTACATAACTGGTCATCCCTGAGTTCTGTGAGGACTCCTGCTGACCTACCTTCACAGTTCTACCAATTTCCTACCGTGGCCTTGGACACGGCTGGGAGGTGGCCTTGGCCCCAGAGAATAACAGACAATTGTCTGTGTTGGTCAGAGCTACCCACTCTCTCAACTTCAAGACCATTAAAACTGAGGCTGTAAACTCAAGGGTTTGCACGAGTCTGCAGAGCCCGCGGGCGAGGCGAGGGGGCTGGGTGAGGACTGGGGTAAACTGGGAAGCACATCGTACCCTGGGCAGCCACCTCCCAGGACCAGCCGGCTGAGGCCAGGCCCAGATACGTACAGAGAAAGATCCCGACTTCTATGTGAAATATCCTTAATTCAAATGTTTTCTATTAAAGAAAAAACCTACACCGTGCAGGCCAGTGCAAACCCCACCCCCTTGTCCAGCGGCAGCCTTGGCGGCGTTTGGAGACTGTGAGTAACCTCCTGCTGGAATGTCTTCCAGAAACCACAGGCCAGGTCCTGGTTATCTCCGCAGACTTGCAGGAGGATCTAAGGCTAAGACACAGACCTCAAGGGACCACGTTCTCTCAAAGTCCTGCAAGGAAAGCCCCAGAAAAGTTGAGTCAAGCCCCGGCCGTCACTCCAAGCGTTCTCTTCTGGGGGGCCAGGCGGGAGCCTTTGTTCAGGGACCTCTCAAGGTCACAGGCGGGCCGGGAGCTGAGCCTCTCAGGTCTGCAGAGCGGAGGCCTCACTGGCAAGAATCACAATTTCTCCTGTCTGTGCTTTTTTGCTTTCTTTCAAGAAACATTATTGTTGGATGAGTCACCCACCCAAGGACAGGAATGCTGCCCGAGGACCCCTCCGCGCGGTTCCTGCAGGAAGCCCCCGCCCGTGAGGCTCAGGTGCAGGGTCCACCCCTGCCGCGGCCTGCACAGCCCGCCCCTCACTCAGCCACCACCTCCAGGATTCTCCCGCCCAGGCTCAATGCCGGGATGTGACCAAGTTCCCGGTTCCCAAACGCGCACTGTGAAGCTCTGTGCCCGCCCCTGTCAAGACCTTCCCGGGGCCTCGCACACCCCCTCCGGCCCTCGGTCTCCCCTCCTGCGCTGGTTCTCCAGCCAACTCCAATGCCTTTCAGACCTTTCCCACGAGAAGGGCAGGCGCGGAGCGGGGAGAACTCCAGGTACCCTCTTTGGGGAGGAGCTCCCGCGGGAGCTCCCCGTCACTGTGGAATCCGCGGTCACAGGGAGGGGCTTCATCTGTTCCTGGACCACGGCTCGGAGGTGGGTGAGAGCCCCATCTCACTGACATCAGCAGCCTGGGATTTGCTCCTGTTGTTTTAAACCAGGAAAGTGGCTCCACGTCCGGTGACGCTGGCTGAACGTCACCAGGGTTGGGCCTTTGTCACTTCCTTTCTCCACATCAACCCCAAGGTTGGCCCTGCGCTCTGGATGGCACAGTGACCCTCTTGGCTGCCGTGGCCACAGCCTGAATGGGCATTTCAGCCGCGGTGGCCACTTGAGCCGCACCAGACTCTGCCCTCCCTCCGACGGCAAACACGCAGCTGAAGCATGTGCTCTACCAAGCACGCGGCATAAATTCTTCCCGCCGAGAGGACCAGGGGAGTGGGAAATGCGCCAAGCTCACATACTTTCGGGTCTGTGTAATGGGGAGGGTTCCCACGGCAGGGCGGCCACTCATTCATTCCGGGGCTGCCGCAGCTCTGCCTCTGGGGACCACGGCCCAGGCGCAGCCCCGGGGGTGACGCGCCGGCCATGCAGCTGCTCGCCCCCATCAGTGACAGGCTGAGCGTGGCCGTCACGGATTACGGCCTGGAGCCAGCTGTCACCGCCGCGGTGGGGGCTGGAGGTCGGGAACAGTGACTCATGCGTGTCCAGGTGGAAGAACCTGGCACTGATCTGTAAACGTTTAATTCGAGACCATCGCAGATTTGCATGCAGTTGTAAGAAACAGCACAGAGAGATCCCATGTGCCCTAGATTCACGCGTCCCTCCCAGTGAGGACGCCTGCAAAGCTGCAAAGAGCTAAGCATGCCTCCCACCGGGTTAGAACTCAGGACGCCCCCCTACCCCGTATCCGGCCCCGCCTCCACCTGCACACCCTGGAGCAGTCTGTGACGTCTGCACGTGTGTGGGCTGAGGGCCGGGCCGACACCACTTCCAGGAGGAGATCCTTCAATGGTCAAGGGTTAGGACACACGGGGGATAGGGTAGGTGCAAGGCTGCGTCCGCATAGCCAGCTGGGCTTGGGCACGGCTGGTCCCCAGGGGACGGGGCGTGTGGACGAGACTCCGCCCCAGGCCCAGGGCGGCCCCCGGGCCCCCGCGCCGGACTCACCTCCGTGATGATGAAGAAGTCGTCCCCAGGCTCCCCCTGGACCACAATCCTCTCTCCGTCTTCAAACTGCGCGGGTTCCAGGGCGTCGGCCACGGTCAGGCGCTCCCACTTCTCCAGGGACTCTGCAGCGGGGGCGGGGGAGTCAGGGGCCGGCTCCCACCCTGACGGCCCCTGAAAACACCCAACAGCCAGCCCGGGGGTGGGGTGAGCCTCTGCTATGTCACAGGGATGAACAAAACGGAAAGCAGGGGGCACCCGGGTACTTTCACAAGTGAGCTGAGCCCAGGGCACTCAGCGCGTGCCGCGCCCTCAGCCGGGATGCAGAACCCAGAGCGGACCTCACCCACGTCCCTGACTCGACGTGAGTTACAGGCGCCAGGCGCTGCGCTGCGTCAGCTCAGCACAAGATGCTTCTGCTGTCTTCAGAAGAGCAGAGCTGCCTGTATGTCACGACCACGAAGCACGAGGTCTGCCAAGGGGTGAAGTAACCCAGAGGCCGAGCGACTCCTGTCCCAGGTCCGCGAGCACGGCACTGCTCTCACGTTGTGACCCTGAGCCACCCACCACCTTCCACTGCTTTAGGTCAGAATGCTTACTTCCAACGGCTAGTTTAAGGCCTGCGAGTTCTCGCCCTACCCTCTCTCAGGCTTCCCCTCCCCGGGGCGTCCACTCCTGCTTTTATAAGAAATTAACAACCAACTGATTAGCTGTTTCTTTTTGACCAAAGAAACTTTTCTGTCCTATACTCATCAGATGCCCTTATGTGGGTCAGCTGCTAAAAATACAAAGCAAAGCACTATTTTAGATCCAGGTTGGGAGGGGACGTCTCTGCTTGAAAACTCCTGCCAGAGCCATGCATTGAAAAGACATGTTTTGCACCCCAGGGCCGGGGCGGCTGCTGAGAGGGGAGCCCCTGCCAGCAGCTGGTCCACAGCTTCCTGAAGAGGGGCCGCCAGGGACAGGAGCTGCCCTGTGAGCCGGACCCCAGGAGGCTGGCATGGCCCCCTCGTGACAGCGAGGCAGGTGGCCTCAGAGGGGATGACGGTCTGCGTAGGGAGGAGTCAGGCTGCACACGTGTGGCTGCTGGCTGGTCCCTCCCCGGGCAAGGGCCGGCAACCGCTGTTATGACGTCAGGGCCAGGAGGTTTGTGTCCTTGCTGGGATCTGCGGGGTTTCCTGCCACACTCGAAACCTGGGACATTCCAGGCCCAAGAGTCACAGCTTCCTCCCCAGCCATGTGAATTGGGAGAACTGTCAGACGGCGCATGGGCCCCAGTTTCTCAGGGGTCTTAAGCCACACCAAGCAGGGGCCTTTGGGGCATTTTTATGCGATCAGAGCCCATCCCTGGCTCCGGGTGCGGGCAGTCAGCCCTGCGAGGAAAAGCAGCCGGCCGGCCAGGGGGCCCGCTCCCAACGCTGTCCTTCCCGAGGGTCCTCCGCCTGCCGGGGAAGTGGTGGGAACCGTGCAGAAGGAACGTAGGGCACATCCCGAAGTTGCTCCCGGTCATCCGGCCGAGGAGTCCAGGGAGGACGCGGACCTTTGGGTCCTGCCTCACGGCTGTGACCCTCCTCCAGGGAGACCCGCTCTCCTGCCTGGAGGCCCACGGTCTGCTTTTTCTTTTGGAAGTTGGGTCAGGCGAGCCCCCTGCACTGCCTCCACTGCCTCCCCGGGCAGGAGGTGCCGGGCAGCCGTCCTGCCCAGGACCGCGCCCTGCTTCCTTTCCAGGCCCCTCACAGTGCCCCTCCACGTCACTGACTCCACACAGGCATGTCCAGTGTTTTTGTAATTTGGGGAAAGGATAATCAGAAAAGTAGAATCAACACCACAGCCGACATCTGTCCTGAACAAACTGCAGGACCACGCCGTCACGCCTGCTCAGAGCCACTCTTTAGAGACAGAACTCCTGCTAAGGTCGAGGCCCCTTCCTGTCGGCCCATTTCTCTCCCTCCCCACAGGCTCCGACTATAAAGGGTTCGGTGGAGTTTTTTTAATTATTATCCTAAAGGCTCTGGCAGGCTTCCTCTCCGCGGGTGGCCTCCGCGATCACTGTGACGTGGCTTCGTAAACACACCGCGGCGCTGCCAGCGCTGTGCAGAGACGCTTTCCGTTTGTGCCGATTTCCGTTTGGAGACCTTGTCCTGCGCTTTATCGGAGTATAAACCTGCGCCACGCAAACATCCCTTCCTGCGACGACAGACTTCAGGCTGTTCCCACTGTCTTGTCATTGCAGAAATCGCTGGGATGAGCGTCCACGCCGTGTCTCTACAGCATTTCCTTCACAGGCAAAGATGCAGAGTCTGGAGCGTCTGCTGCGCCGGTCCTACCCCTGCGATCCCCGATTTATCCCCCAAGGTTGCCAGCAGCCTTGTTTTGGTCCTGATCTGCCTTCCTGGCTCCTCCAGCGTCCGTTTGACTTCCTCCGTACCCGCTCTGCGGCCTCCGCGCTCCTGTCTCAGGAGCCGTGCTCTTACTTTCTCTGCTGGGATTTCATCCTGGCTGGCCTGCCCGGCCGCCCTGGCGGGCCCCTCCACCTGCTCAGGCAGATGGGAGGGCCCCTCCCCTCTGAGCTGCAGTTTGAGGGACCAGCGGAGAGCCGCTCCCGTGTCCCACCACCCAGGCTGCAGAGGTGGACAGGGAGAGCTCAGCTGGGAAGTGGCTGCTCTGTGCCGGGCAGCAGCCAGGGTCCCACCAGGCTCCCCGATGTGGGCAGGGGTCCAGTCCCGCGCCTTCATCCGCGAGCGTTGTCAGCCCCCGGCCGTGGATACCCTCGCCCCCCCGAGCTGCACCTGTTTCCTCTTCTTCCCTCCTCAGAGGTTCTTGGGAAAGGAGCATGGGCTCCCTCGTCAGCTGCACCCAGAAGTCCGGCCGGGGGCCGCTGCCGGGGAGCTCCTGCTGGACGGTCATTTCTCGCAGTTCCCAGAGCCTCAGCGCGTCATTGCCACTCACTTCCCGAAGCGGGTCTCCTCCTGTGGTGCGCAGCTGCCAGACTCACACAATCACACACATGGTCACAGCCCAGCTGATTAAAATTAAATAAAACGAAAATCCGCCCGTGCTCGGCGCAGACATAGAACCTCTCCATCATTCCAGCAGCTCTGAGGCCAGGCTGGTCCCAAGCAGCACGAAGCCGCCGCGAACGTCACAGCAACTTCAAAACACTGAAAACGTCTGTTGGAGAGAACCTTGTTGAGCTCCGGAAAGTCAGTGGAAACGCAGCCTCCAGGATGTGATGGGGGGACCCGGGGACCCACACGGAGAAGAACCCAAACAGGTCTGGGAAGACGCAGCACAGGCGGGCCCACGCACGAGCCCAGCCGACCCCTGAGGTGGAGAGATGGGCTCTGACGGCGGACACACGGACACACCAAGCACAGCGGACAGACGGACGGGGGGCAGACAAACAGCACGCACACACGTGTTCACGCGTGTATCGTGTGGGAGCACACTGCGCACGCGTGAGCCTGCGCGTGCGTGTGCGTGTGTGCCCCAAACGCGTGCAGCACCGAGAACTCTGACCCTCCAGCCGCACAGGGAAGGGGCCGGTGGGGGCGGCGGGGCGGGCACGCACCCAGGATGGAGACCTTGCTGAGGAATTCCTCGTACATCCTGCGCTTCCTCAGTGTGCTGCCCTGTTTGGGAGAGAGGGAAACACAGAGAAGGTTCAGAATCTCTTCCTGCCCGAGCCGTTCCCACACCCCCAACTTTCCCCAAATGACTCCGAGCTCCTAAAATGAGACCCTCGGAACATTCCAGGTCCTGGAAGTCTCTCAGATGAGCGAGGGTCTGGGCAGGCTGCCGCCCCATCAATGTCCAGACCCCACCCCTCCTCCCTCCAGGGGCTCCATCCTTCCTAACTCCCTGGCCAGCAACAGCACACCTCATCCAGCTGGGGCCAGGGATTGGTCCACAGGTGAGCACTCAACCAATCAGAGCCCTGCCCTGGGCTTCCAAGTGCTGAAGAGGGTGGTCAGGTGCGGTGGTGAGACTGGGGTGTCCCTCGGTCCCCCCATTGCACCCCACACATCTGGAGAGACACTGGTGCTGACAGCAGAACACAGCATGCGCCAAGAGGAGGGCAGCCTAGAGCTGGTGCCCGTGAGAACTGCCAACTAATTACTTCTTTTTCCCAATCAAATGCTCGCTGAGTAACACAAGCCAGTGACCAGACCCATGTTGGCTTTCATGTGAATTAGAAATTAGAATCAGAAATGCGGATTTGAAAACAGCACCCCTGCATCAAGCACACATCCCAGCAAGCACCACCTCCAGGTGGCCAGTCCCCGTCTGAAAGGTACAAAGCTGTCTGGACTTCAGCCGCTCACCCCTCTGCCCAGCCTCTTTGCACAGTGTACGAACCGCACAACGGAACACGGCAGCCCCGCCGATGAGAACTATTAAGCACAGCATGATCAGAAAACAGAAACGTTTGGTGAAATTCAAACAGTCTCATCATTGAAGGGGCCACCAGTTCATCAGAGACGTGAGCAGGATGGAGACAAATCTACCAGTGGCGAGGTTTCCCCAGGACCCTAGACCAGTCACCCTGGCAGGCAGAGGAGGGGAGGGACAATGAAAACACAGGTCAGGGAGGGGCTGCATCTCTTAGACACCCTCCCAGCGACCAGAGCCCAGTCTGGGAACCCAGGGATGGGGGCAGGGGGCGGACAGGGTTAGGGAGCTGCTCCAAGGGGCCGGCACCTGGAGTCCAGCAGCCGGGTCTGGGGGAAGACAGCCCCTAGCCTGGAAGTCCCGCTGGAAGAGCGAGCAAGGAGGAGGAAGCGGGGGGACGCTGAGAACCAGGACAGGGAGGGGCCACACACAGCTGGACGGTCGAAGCCCCGGGGCCGTGGTGCGTTTCCCCAAGCTCAGCCCGCACCCAGGGCTAGGGACCTCGTCCAGACCCACGGAGGGGGCCAGGGGAGGAGGCCTGAACCTGGAAGGGATTCAGAAGCCCTGCATTCAAACACCACCCCTCACTTGGTATCCACACGCCTGAGACAGCACCCTCCTCTCCGAGCCCCGGTTTCCTCGTATGGATGATGGAGTATCTTAATCCCTGCCCCCACAGGATCCCGGGAAGCTAAGGTGAGCAAACATCAGTGAGGTGGCGTGGGGAGGGGCCCCAGGCCTCAGCGCCCCTAGCAACTCCGAGTGACTCAGGGCAAGCCCAGCGCTCAAAAGGCTGAAAGTCCCAAGTTTAGAATCTGGGAGGTGCCCTGCCACCCCCACAGGAGCCCAGAGACACCCAGGCCCCCTCCATCCGACAGAGAGCCCCCACAGGGCTGGACCGTGCTCTAGTGGGTCCGAGACCACCTTGTAACTGGCCCAGGATGGTGCAGACGGGGTTCTGCACGACCGGCTGGTGGCAGGGAGCGGGCAGTGTCCAGGGATCGGGGCAGAACCCAAGGCTCTTTCCGGCGCTGAATGTCCGCCACGGGGCAGGTGTGGATGCCCATGGGGGCAGCGTGCTCAGCTCAGCTCGGCGCCCCGGCTGTCTCAGATCCCCGCCGGCCACAAGAAAGGCATTTCTTTTGCGAGATAATTTATATTCCCACTGACCTGCCAGCAGCTTCGCCCCCCCCCCCGGTGGAATGCAGGCATGTTTGCCCGGGAACCTTAGACTTTAAAGCTCCCCACAACTGGCCCATCCATCTCCCGCCGGAGGATGACAGCTGAGGGCGGCCGCCCGGGACCCTCGGGCCAGGAGACCCGCCTCAACGGCTGACCGAGATGCCTCCCCTTCAGAGCGTCCCTTCGGGGATGAGACGGCCGGCGAGGCTGTGCTGGGAGCCTCCACGGGTTCACGCACCGTGCAGGTGTCCATGGGACTGGCCCTTCACCTTGGGGGCCACGAGGACCCACACTTGGGGGGCCCTGCAGCATGTCTGCCGGCAACCCCGAGGTGGGCTTTATGCCTGGAGGGGCTGTCACAAGGACGCAGCCCGCCCAAGGCCACCACGCGTGAAGGGCCAGCAGGGCCTGGCATCTGCCTCCGGATGAACGCTCCCATCCGTGGGTCTGGGTGAGGTCTGAGTCATGTGCGTAGTGGGTCACTGGCCCTGGGTGCGGGCTGAGCTTGGGGAAACGCACCACGGCCCCGGGGCTCTGGCCGTCCAGCTGTGTGTGGCCCCTCCCTGTCCTGGTTCTCAGCGTCCCCCTCCACGCCGCCCTGTTCCTCCTCCTCCTCCTCCTCCTCCTCCTCCTCGCACTTCCGTGTCTGCCTGAGGTCAGGGGAGCTGAGGGGTGGGGTCTGGTCCTGTCTCCCTCCGCCCCGTCTCCCTGGCACATGTACCCTTGGTTTCCACACCTCTGTGATGGGGTCCCTCTGGACTGACTTTGGGAAGCAGGGACTGCAGAGAAAGGCTGTCTACGTAACCCCCCAGCACAGCCTACACCACACAGCTTCCCTTCCACCACGGCCCCTCCCCTCCCCCGCAGGGAGAGCACAGCGGGTGCCCCACCCCGATCTGGACTGACGGATGGATGGAGCAGGGACGGGGCAGACTGCACTTCAGACCAGGACCTCGCCGCAGGGCTGCCATCACCCCAGCCCCACCCAACTGCCCCCTTACGGCTGGAGACAGCCCCTCCCCAGCCCGTCTGCTGGCACACGGTGCCAAGCATCCTGCTGTCTCAGAGGAAGCATTTTGTCCTGGAACCTAAAATGTCTGGAAAGTCCAGACACCCCATCCCACCTGCATGGCCTGAACCGGCCCCGAGGAAGGGCTGGGGACCGGGGTCCCGGCGGACAGCAGGACTCCAGCCAAAGCACGCACACCCCAGGACGGCACCAGCTCTGGCTCCTGGAAGCTTCCTGAGTCCTGATTACAGAGGGCTCACAGGGGGTCCACGGGGCCACCCAGGGTGGCAGCTCCAGGAAGGGTGGGAGCCCACAGCCTGAGGAGGAGTCTCCGTCAGGGGAAGAGACCCTCCTTCCTGATGGGGTGTCCCAAGCGCCCTTTCCCCCTACAAGTTAAATCCCACCAGCTCTGCAGCCACGAAACGAAGACCCCCGCCACCACCCAAAGGCATCCCTGTGCGCCCGGGCAGAGGCCGGGGCAAAGGCAAGAAGAGGGTCGCACTTCACAGATGGGAGCCAGGGGCCCAGGCGCGTGGTTGGGGTCTCAGTGCTGCGGCTCAGGACCCGGTTCTCGGGCTCCCCCAGGAACGTGGGGTTCTGGAGACCCCAGCCCAACCTCTACAGCACGGTTCCACACTCACTGGTCCCCATTCGAGGTCTCACATCAGACTCGGGGGAACAAGAGTCCTGAAGCTTAAAAGACAGAAGTTTGGGGGGCACTGGCCCTGCCTGGGGGACCTGAGGGGGCCGAACTCTGGGCTTGCTCAGAGGCTGGCCAGTGTCCTGGCCTCGCTGCACTCTGCCCCTCGGGACCACACGGAGCAGTGGAGAAGGGACAGGTGTTGTACGGAGCCTCCAGGATCAGACATCCTGGGAGTCAGAGGTGGTCCCCTCCCTGGGGACACCAGCGGCGCCCCCATCCCGGGTCTTCCACGAACGTCCCAGCTCAGGGCCACTCACTGCGCGACAGTGCATCCGAACCCACCCAAGCCCAGGACTGATGCAAAACCGGACACAGTCCGCAGACACTCCCTTCCGAGTGGGCCGCACTGTCATTTTCTCCCCGAGACACGGGGCTCTATTCTTAGCACGCGGGGATCCAGAATTAAACACAGGAAGTGCCAGCTGCCTCGGTGGTTTGGGAACTTCCCTGAATATGAGGTTCCAGCCACAGAAGTCCCGCCGCCCAGAAGGACTTGGTGTGGACAGCAGTGGAGAAACAACGGCTTATGCACCCAGGACCAGGTGCGTCCAGAGGAGGTGGGAACCGACGGGGGTGCCTGGGGTCCCTCCTCGCCCCAGACAGCCGTCTCTCTCCCAGAGAAAACAGGCCGCATTCCACCAGAACTCGCAGGGCAGGGCCCCAGTGCACCATGGCACAAGGACTTGTCTGCTCACACGGGCGCCCAGGGATGCCCGCTGAGTGCATGGACGAGGACCCTCAAGAAACAGGCGCCCCCAAGACTGAACCGACCCCTCCCGGCACTGCAGAGGGCCCAGACAGCCCCACCGTTCCCCTTCAGACGGGCCCCGGGGCAGGCCCCACCTTCCAGGCTCAGCTGGGCTGGGCTCACAGGGCCTTTCCTAGACTATCCCCGAGCTTCCCGCAGGCCTCCCGGAGCATCCCAAACCGCAGCCCCCTCCCTGGAAACTGCACCGCCCAGGCCGACCCTCTGGAGACAGCCAAGCCCCCGAGGGCACATGGCAGCAGCACTGCCATCCAGCTCTGGATCTCCCAGCAACGTGTCCACCTCGGTCACCCCTCTCCAGGCTGTCGGGACTCCTCGGACCCCAGCCCCACAGGAGCTGGCTCTGAGCAAACACCATCGCCAGACCCTGGGGCTGCCCTCAGCAACAAGCCCATTGGACACGGGTTCTCCAGGACGATCCCTGACCGTCTCAGAAAAGCACCTGGCCCGGCGGTCACCACTGGGCAGGCATGGACACCCAAGAAAGGTGACTTCCCCGAGGATACAGCACTCAGCTACCGGGGGCCTGCCCTGTCCTGGGGAAGGCACTGTAGACCTGGGGCCACAAGGGAACCCGCCCAGACCCGTGTGGCCAGTCCAGAGCCTCCCTACATCCAACATTCTCTACCCCTACCCAGTCGGCCCCTAAGCCGGCCCAGACGTCACTGGGTCCAGGGCAGCCCTGGCCCTCCTGCTGCCCACTCTCCTGCAGGGGGTCTGGAGCCCTCAGGGTCTGAGTCCAGGCCCGCGGGGCTATGGGACCACAGGATGCAGCCCCCACCTCCCTCCCACCAGGGGATCCTGTCGTCCACAAGCAGGCCAACCAAGCCCACACCCCAGGGCCTTTGCACCTGCTGTCCTGATCACTCTCCTCCTGGATGGTCCTCCGAGGGCTCAGCTCCAAGGAGACTTATTGTGGGAGGGGTCTCAAGGAAAGGATCTCAGACCTTCTGTGGAACAGCAGCCCCCCCCTTCGCCTCTTCTCTGGGAACTGTGGCCACAAGGCACATGTTTGCCCCACTGTCTCCTCCACCAACATGTCAGCCCCCTGGCAGGCATGTGTCTGTGGCATTCCCTGATGGGCCCCAGCACCATGAACCAGGCAATGCGTGTGCAGGACGAACACTGAGTGGGCATAGGAAGGTCCTGCCTTCTCTGCCTGGGAAGGGCCTTCACACATGAGCTCACCTCAGGGGCCTCCCATGGACAGTGGGCCTGCACAGGTGTGCACACCTGCCCCCACCCTGACCTGGCTGCATATAAGGGAAAACTTAAAATGTCCCCACGTAAGGAAGTCTGGAGGCCAGCAGCCTGCCCAGTACCATGGACCCACTGTGCCACCAGAGGCCAAGCCCCTCGTGGTTCTTAGTGAATGCAGGTCAGCCTCAAAGTCACCTCATAGTCCAGAATATCAGCTGGAGCTCCAGCCATCACAACCACATTCCAGACGACTGTAAAGAGAATGGGAAGGAAAACAAGAGGGGCGCCCCCAGCTGTCTGCTTGCCTTTGGGGAGGCTTTCCAGAACCGCCCCCCCAACACTCGCCAACCATCTCGTCCCCTGTGTTATCCCCCCCACCTGGACACAACCCGCGTTCCCGCAGGATGCTGGGTGGGTGTCAGACTCGAGACCGGCTGCCCTCCTGGCTCTGGCGAAGCCTCCCACGCAGGCGCCACTCACTCACCATGAGGATGCGCCGGTAGCTGTCCCGGTCGATGCCCCAGACCTTGAGGTCGGTCTTGGCCTTCACAGTCGCTGCCCTGGGGGTGCCGTAGATCAGGGCAAGCTCCCCGAAGCTGCCACCTTCACTGATGCTGGTCACCCACTCTCCATTCACATACACCTTTGGGGACAGAGGACAGCGTCATAGGGGCCTGGGGTCACCCACTCTCCGTTCACATACACCTTCGGGGACAGAGGACAGCGTCACAGGGGCCTGGGGTCACCTGCCCTCCATCCACATACACCTTTGGGGACAGAGGAACAGCATTATGGAGAACATGGTGCCACAATGTGGCTACCGGCACTGAGAGCCCCTGCAGTGTCCTCGGTGGGAGGGGGCCTGCCCGCATCCCCTGCCCCTTGCTGATGGGTGGAACTTGGTCTGGCCAGCCCTGCTCAGAGCTGGGCCTGGACAAGCACGGAGCATAGGCCCTCCGCTGTCGGTGCCGATGAGACCGGCCAGGTCAGAGGTGAAGGCACCGCTCGGCTCCTGGTTCACGGGGCAGCGAGTCTTGCCACCTACCAGGCCGGCCTCGGACTCAATTCCCTGCCACTGGAGGCTGGCTGGCCTGTCTGGGCCGGGTTTCCCTAACTGCGCCAAGTAAACCGGACGTGACTGCCTCAGGGCATCGCTGCCGCCATGGCCTGGCCCCCACCCCCTCACAGGTGCTGCCCACTCTGGTCCCTTCCGTCCCTGCCACTCAGGGCTCCGTGGGAGCAGCCTGGGACCCTCTCCCACCTCCACCCGCAGGCCCCGCGGCCCGGAAGGAGCTGAGCTTCCTGAGTCTCCGGGCCGCTCCCCCACAGCACCAAGTCAACGGGAGTGCAGGCGCCGAGGGCTGGCAGAGCCGCGGACAAGATTCCCTTTCAGCCTGGGAGGGCGGCGCCCGCACAGTGTCCCTGCTATGCATTGAGCGCACGCCCGCATCCTGCAAGAATGGCGCAGATTGTTCATTATGCACGTTCTGTTACTGTAAGTTAACACAACGCGCTGTGTGTTGCCTCGGGTGTCAATGAGCTTAAAGAACAGTTCCCATTGGCAAAAAGGGTGCCCATCGGGGAAGAATGGATTGCGTGAATCATGGAAGCAATTCTTACTGAATTCAATGACTCATTATCTCCATCATAACTGAGGCACAGAGCTGCCAATCTGCGGAAACGCCAGGCAGGTGACAACGGCGTGTTGTGGGGGAGAGGGTGGGGAGCACTGGCCCAGGTGTCGAGGGAGGGGAGTCGGCAGTTGGCCCAGTGGCCTGGGGCCTGTGTGCCCGTTCCCGAGAGCCCCTACCAGCCCAGCGTGTCTGCACGGCTCCACCCTCCACCGCTGTCCGACCTGGCCCGACTGTGCGCTCAAGTTCCTGGAAGGGAGTCGGGCTGCAGGGCGTGCAGGGAGAAGAAACGCAGCTTCCACTCGGCAAGGCCCTCAGCAGTCAGGACGATACCCGCCCTTCCCACGGGGCAGGGGGGCACCGCCTGGCTCCGCCTCGGCCGTGGAGGGACGCCTGGGAGAGGCCGGCAAGCCCAGTTTCAGGGGTGCAGGGACGGCAGAGAACCCCCCGGAGAGTCCCCTCTGGTTTTCTCCAAGGGGTGCAGGGTCCAGGGCGGGGCAGTGACGACCCACCAACAGTCACGGTAACCGGCAACCGGGCACGACCGGGCAGCACCGGCTCCCTCACGGCGGTGCTCCCCCACGTGCCTGTGCTTTTGTGCAGCCCTCTCCGCATTGCTGTCGCTCACAGACGTCGACCTGCACTGTCCGGCTGTGCAGCGCAAGGAGCTTCCCACCACTCAGGCTGCAGCGCCGAACATCTGCAGGTGCCTTTCCCAGGGGACAGGAGAGGACCACACAATCCCAGCCCATCCTCCTGTGCTAAGCGTCCGAGTGCCGTTTAGCTCATCTGTTCTCACGGCCACGTAGCAGCTACAGTCCAGCGGGCGACGGATGCGTTCTAGTTTCAGCTGTGATGCGGACCGCGGCCGTGAACCCTCGCAAGTGGGATTACATGCCCTCACTTCTCACAGGTGATGCCAGGGGTGGCACTGGCTGCCTTGTGGGCTATCTGTACGGTTTGCTGAACACTGTTTCTCCTGGGTCGTGCCAAACTGCCCTCCCACTGAGTCACCACGGTGATGCGGGCCCAGGGATCCATGCTTGACGTGGGGAGTCTGGGAAGGTGTGCTGCGGCCTCCCCCCCACCCTTAGGGGAAGACAGAAGCCACCCGCCTCTGACGGCTACCAGGTGGGCGGGACACCACCATGCCCCCAGAGCGCACAGGGATCCCAGGGAACAGAGCACGCGGCCCAGCAGAGCCCTGGGAATCCCCAGGGTACGTCCCCAGAAAGCAGGCGGGCGGCGGCGGCCACAGAGCACGCCCAAGGGGGCCCGGAGGAGCCTATCCCCGCAGCGGGGAGGACCCCTTCCTCGCCGAGGCTCCAAGGCTGCCCTCTGAGGCATCAGAGAAAACCATTGTGTGGAGCCAAGGTCAGGCCCAGAGCCGCCCCACCGGGCACAAAGGGCCATCCTTCTCGGGACACTGGCCTCTGTCACCACGGCCGCCGGGGGCCGGGCCCCGCCCCAGCTGGCACGCAAAGGGGCTACTTCTTGCTTTGTTTTGCTTTTTGTTTTTCTTCTTTAAAAAGAAAAACGGTGGGAGGCCCCCTGGGCCACACTGACGCCCCCGCTGCTGGCCGTGGTTTCTCCGGCTGAACGCAGAACCCCCGTGCCTGCCAAGGGCCCAGTGCCCCACACGTTCTAGCTGTCAGGGCAGCAGGAGAAGGCAGGCGAGTGCCTGTTCACAGGGACTTTCCACCAGCTGTCAGCAATAAGCACACAAACAACCGTCACGAAAGGCGCCTGGGCCTGGAGAGAGCGGGAGGCAGGGTGTCCCTGAGGGCCACAGTCAAGATTTCACAGAGGACTTTCCAAGACGGTAATCTGAGTCCAGCTCTGAGGGGCCTGGGCAAAGAGAATTTGAGGTAGAGGGACAGGACGTGCAAAGGCCCTGAGGCGGGACTGGCCTCGGAGGGAACCGGAAGCAGCAGGACCAAACGGGGAGATGGCCTTCTCAGGACCACAGAAGGTTCCAGCAGGGCCGACATCGTGGGACTCACGTCTGGAACGTTCCCTTTGGTGCAGCCGGAGACCAGCTCGGGCGCGAGAGGGGATCAGGGAGGGCCCGAGGGACATCCCAGAGACACAGTGTTCGACCAGGTTACTCGGCAGGTGGTGTGTGGACCAGGCACAGCATCCCCCAGGAACCTGCAGGAATCCGAGTTCACGCCCCCTGCCCCGCCCTCCTGAATCAGACCCCGGGGGGTGGGGCTCAGCCACCAGGGTCTCAGCAGGTGACTCTGACCCACACCCACGCGGGACCAGACTTCAGATGGAGGTGGACACAATCACGGGACTGAGGGCACAGGAGCTGGTTCGTGAGCCCCAGAAGTGGCCTCGTGGTGGTGCCGCATTTCTGTCGGCACGGGGGCTTCCGACGCAGACCACGGCCGCCAACGCCCAGGCAGGCGGGCAGCCAGGGACGCCACCAGGAGATGCGGGTGCCTCCCCGCTCCGCAGCTTGCCCCACTCCCAGGGGCCTCCAGTTCAACCTCACTGCTGGGCAAGTGGAGACAGAATCAGTCACGGAGTACCCCCTTAGCAGTGTATCCCCCCAGCCGCCCCGCCTTCGGTTCTCACGCACCCCGGAGCCGCCAGGCAAGGAGGTAACTCAGGCGTGCTTTCCACTGTTGTTCTTGCTCCCAGAGGTGGTGAGGAAAAGTTAATGGCCCGTCTCCTCTGCCGCCCCAGGCTCCGGCCACAAAGACTGGGGGAAGCAGAACTGGTGAGCCAGGCACATCAGCCCCTCCCCGGGCAGCCGGCCAAGCCCCCCTGCCCTCTCCCTGCCCAGCTGGAGACCCTGCCTCCCGGGCCGCCCTCCCAGCCAGGTAAACATGGTCCTGAGCCTCAGTCCTCTTCAGCTCAAAACACCTGGAGGGTCAGTTTGTTTGGCCTTGCCTGAAGGGCAACCAAAGCACAGACTCCCCTCAGCCCCTGCCTGTGGTCCGCCGGCCACGTGCACCAGCCACACGGGTCAGCTTCCACTCCTGGATGGCGGGCCCCTGCCAGCTTCCTCTGTGGAGCCCACATCCTTCAAGCTCGTGGGCCGCCTCCCTCCCTCAGATGCCCACTCGCCAAGGTCACAGGAGGCAGGATTCCCGATCCACGTCCAGAGTGCCATGCACTCCCTGGGCGACCTCATGCTCCCATCCAGGACCCAGCGCCCTCGCTGAGCTGTCACACTGCCCGTGGTCATGTTACCACCGCCACGTGGTGGGGCTCCGGGCGCCCTGTCCTCCCGATTCCAGAGCAGCTTCTGGCCACAGTGGGTCCACCAGGACTTCAGCTGGGAACCAAGACACACCCCGTGGGTGAGACGCCGCGGGAAAGCTTCACTGCCAGCTTGGGGCCACAGCTGCCCCACACCCGGGCAGTGACCGGTCAACGGAGGGTGTCCTGAGAGCAGGACCAGACCCAGCAGACTCGGTACTTGCACACCCACGTCCACCGCAGCACTGGTCACAGCGGCCTGGTGTGCGTGACGGGTGAGCGGACAGTGAGATGTGGTGCATCCGCGCAGTGGGATGCAATTCCGCTGGAAAAAGGAGGGAAGCCTGGCGCCTGCCGCGGCGTGGCTGGACCTTGAGGACATGGTGCTCAGCGACATAAGCCAGACACAGAGGAACAGGCACTGTGATCTCAGCTCTGTGAGGGCCCCGGAGTCAGAGTCACAGAGACAGGAAGCAGAGGGCGGGGGCCGGGGGCTGGTGGGGGAGCGAGTGTTTGATGGGGCAGCCTCAGTGGGAAGACAGAAAGCTCTGGAGACGGACAAGCTGACAGCTGCACAACAGTGTGAATGTGCTTCGTGTGCCTGAGCCGAGCTCGCCAAGCGGCTGGGGTGGTAGCCTTTACGTCACGTGCACTTCACTAATGAAAAAACAAAAAGCAGAACACCAGGCAAGCCGACCAACTGGCCGTGACCTGCGGGGACGGACGGCCTGGGGTGCCCAGTCCCTGGGCCCACCCCCTCTGGAGGCTGGAAACCGCCCTCCTCCAGGACATCTCGTGTGAAACAGGAGGGACCCCTGAGATAAGGCTGGGACCCCGGCAAGGAGGGTCCCGAAACACTGAAGATCTGGAAGGACAGGGGACAAGCTGCACTCCTGAGCCCGTCGAGCTGGCCGCTGGGCGTCCTTGTGAGTGGAAATGCTATGTTCCACGAATAAAACAAATTGGGGGATATTTTTATACTTAGAAAAACGGATTATAGCTCTTGGCGATGCACACACCACGGCTGGCACCCTGAGTCTCTCTGGAAAACCGTAATTTAAAACAAGTTGGTGCTTTTGGCATCCAGTCACCTGGCTGTCCCCTCAAGGCACCACTGGTCAGAGGGCAACGTCCAGCCCGCAGAAGGGGAGGCTCAAAGTGGCCACCTCCAAACCCCGCCCATTTAAAACCCGGGGCAGGGTCCTCTGAGGGGAGCCTGCGTCCTGGGGACTTCAGGGCAATGGTCACAGTCTCCTGTCCTCCCCTCATGAGACTGGTCCCTCACAATCGCCTGACAGTCCCTGCCCCATGCACGGCCAGGCCAACAGGTCCCTCCCTCAAGGGCAGTGTCAGGAACGAGCAAACAAAATGCAGCTCGAGGCCTCGGCGCAGCGGCAGCCTCTGCCCGGGGCGGCGCTGACACAGTCATCGTTACGAGGCGTCCCCGTAACTCGCCACTTTTCACTCCAGACTCCTGACCAAGAGTCTCGCGATCCCTCTAAGTGTGGCCTTCACCCACACGGCTCCGGCCTGCGCGTTCGTCCTGCACTCAGCCGCCCACATCACAGGAGCTCCCTCCACAGGCCCCGCGCGCCCCGCCCGCCGTCCGCCGGAAAACCTCATGAGACTGATGGAGGTGGTGGCCTTGAGAGGCATCAGAGGACCTGACCCATCTGGGGTCCAGCTGTCCGAATTCGAGACTGCAGCCAGGAAGCAGGAGCTCCCTGGGAGTCTCCTCGGCCACCTCCCCAGCACCTATGGACCCCAAGGGCCGGTCGTGTCCCCAAAAGTGTATTCTCGGGCCTTGTAAGTGCCCGGCACACAGCAAGTGCACCGCTGACATCTGAGGAAGAAGACAAGCGGGATGGAGGGAGGGAGAGGTTGGAAGTGGTGACAGCAGAGGTACCAGGGTGCCGGAGGAGAGACCCGGATCTGAGCCCAGAACCGGCTGACCCCACACCTCCCGGGCCGGCTCTGCCCCGGCACCTCTGAACAGGGGGCTCGGGAGCAGCCGGTCCGAGGACAGTGCACCCTCACTGCCTTCTCTGCTTCCTTGGCTGGCGGTGTTTTCAACCTGAGGTGAGGCCAGCAGGAGACGACTGTGGGCTGGCGCCTGCCTTCCGAGCCTCACCACCCACTTCTTCAGGGACGTGGCCACCCTGGGGCTGTCAGCTCCTGCCTCAGTTTCCTTCTCTGGTGGGAGACGGGAGCCACCCCGCCCCCAGGCCAGATCCAGGTCCGGGCTCAGGACAGAGAGAAACCTGGACTCCGTGTGCCCCTGACTCTGAGATCCACGGTTAAGTCCCTTCCTGGGCCATCAGCTCCAGAAATCGAGAGCCGCCTGCCCGGGTCCCAGAAAGCGGTGCCCTTGGTGGACGCAGAGGGGCTGCTGGGAGGTATGTGAGAAGACGCCCCGCCACAGGGCACCAGAGGCCAGGCCCTGGCGCCATCGCTGGGCAGACCCACTGAGTTCGCGTCGCCGGACGGCACAGAGGGCACGTACCGTGGTGAAGGTGGGGGGAGGGTGTGGAGGCTACCAAATGCCCCGTCCCCCCCTGTCCCTGGTGCTAGCGTCCCAGGCCTGGAGCTGAGTTGGGGGCCGGCCTGGATGCGTGGCCTGTGGGGCCCCTTGGTCGTGTCTTGCTGTGCGCTGTGACCTCAGCCGCCAAAGCGCTGGACAGACCCAGCCCCGCACTCAGGGCCTTCCAGTCCGACACGCCCAGAAATAGGCGCGGGGTGTGGCCTGAGCGGAACCCGGGCACAGAGGAGACCTCGGGCTGAGATGCACCTGCTGCTGCCTCAGCCACGGAAGTGACGCTCGCAGACGCCAAAAGGAGAGGCAGGAGCTGGGGTTGGGGACGCGCCCAGGGCAGCGGGACGGTGGTGGCAGCACAGGCCAAAGCCGGGCATTCAGAGATGCCCACACAAGGGTCTGAGGAAGGCCAGTGCACGCAGGCCAGGTCTGAGGGCGGCCGCGGGGGCCCCAGGGGACAACGCAGCCACCCAAGTGGGCAGATAACTGGAAGAGGGCCCCCAACTCCTGAGACAGGGGACACAGCCGAATGGCGTCAGGAGACACAACATCCCGGGGATGGGCGGCAGGAGCTTCGGGTCCCAAGGACGAAGCCAGCTCCATGGTAAAGCCAGAGCCTCGGGGCCTGTAGACATGGGCAGAGCAAGCTCGCATGTCCTGGGCTCCCATCCAGGGCAGACCCAGTCTCGCATGTCCTGGGCTCCCATCCAGGGCAGACCCAGTCACCAGGGCCCAGGGCCGCGGTCGGCGGGAGCAGGAGGCGGACAGCCACGGAGTTGCGGCCACGCGGACACCGGCCAGCACGCATGCTGGGTTTGCACTGTGCTCGGGTGTGCTCACGCCATCTTTCACGTGAACTCTACCACTTTTCTGGATCGAGAAATTAGAAACGCATCACTCAGAAAGACATTTTCTCGACCTGAGCATGTGTTCTAGTAGAGGCAGGCACCGTTTCCCAAAAACGGTGGAGAGATACTTACATCCACCTCTCCTTGGTCAATTACATAGAAGTTGTCCCCTTCGTCCCCTGCAAGAAGAGAAAAACAGGACATGTGATGCCGGCTGTGGACCACGGTGTCTTTGTTTTTCTGGTAATAAACTATCTTTCAACATTGCTTCCCAGACTTCTGCCAAGCAGTGCTAGGTCTCATCAGTATTTAAACAAGAGCTGCACGTGTGGAAGGTGCATGGCACGGTGACCTGACACCCGCAGTGGAATGGTCACTACACCAGGCCAACGGTCGCTGCAGCATCTCCTGACCTCACCCTTCTGAAATCCACGCCCGGGACTTGGCACAGCTCACCAGTTTTTCTAATGACAAGAGGGTTGCGGACACACGTTAACACACATTAGCTTGTTACACTGGCTGTTCTGAAGCCTCGTTGGTGACTTTTCTCCAGGATGGACCCTGAGTCTTGTATGATGCATCCTCCAAGTGCCCGGCCAGCTCTGCCCGGTCGGCTCCGGCTCCGGAGCAGGAGGGGCGTACCTTGCTGTATGACGGTCTCCCCGGCAATGTGGGTGACAGGGAACATGGCATCGAATATGTCGCTGGAAGAAAAAGCACAGGGTGCGGGAGCCGTGGCGGCAGAGCAAGGCCCGCCCAGCAGGGAGAGGCAGCCCAGAAGAGGAGTAAAGACCCTCGTTGCCCCCCGCCCCTCACTCAAAGCCTCCGGATCGCTTCTGCGTCTGGGCAGGTGGCCGCCTGGGGCTCTACAAAAATGGGGTCACACCATACAGAGTCTGCTCACAGAACACAAGACAGATGGAGGCCGTTCCTCATGGCGGCAAATCCAGCCCAGGAGAATGCGGCTACCAGTCCTGACAACCCGTCTCGGCATTTTCCCAGGGAGACATATACTGTCTAAGGCTGCGAGATGCCAGACGCAGAAACAAGAAGACACCAGCCTCTAATCTGTGACCCAAGAGGCCGCCAAGGCCGCGTCCACCAGGCAGCGTGGCCACTTAGTTTCCCAAGACTGGGTGTGAAATGGGCCGTACGAGCAGGAGGGGAGGGAGTCGGGCGGAGCTGGGCGGGGGCGCCAGTCTCCCGTGCGGAAGGTGCACGTTGGTCGAGGGCCACGGTTGTCTCTTGGGGACACAACCAGGTGCGGGGTCAGGGATCGGCATCTCTATCCCAAAATGCAAGCACGTCTCCCCAAAAGAGAAGTCCCCCTGCCTGCTCCCCTGGGCCCCGTGACTGGGTGAGAAAAATGAGGCAAAATCGAGCAGCCTCCCCGACCCGAGTGCTGCAGTCTGCCCCAAGGTGTGTGGGCCTGGCCCCGAGGCCGCAGTCTGAGCAGCGTCCTCTGTTCTGCAGCCACAGCCCGGCTCAGACGGGGACCTTGGCCACCGGTCAGGCAGCCTCCCGAAGACACGGGTCCACTTCCAAACCTAGAACTTTCCCTTCACACCAGGCTCTCTGACTGTCTCTGCGGAACCAACGTTTTCAAATTCACATTCAAGGTGAGGTCTGACCCTGGGGTCAAACACCAACTTGATATGTTTCTGGAAGTCACGCAGACAGAGCTGCCCCGTCCCACCTCGGGCTTGCCGTTCTCAGCCCGGCAGAAGAGGTCTGCGCGCTCGCCACGGCTGGCTCCGGCGATGCTGATGGTTTGGTTTTGTTTATTTTAAATCTAAGCCTCACTGCCCAAGTGCCATTTAAAACAAGCCTACTTCTTGACTCGCAAGTAAATGTTTAGAACACGTCCTGCTGGTAAGTTACTTGTTTCATTCGACCTTGGAAACAAGACCATCAAGCCAGCGGCCTCGGCCGCTGGGCTTCCAGGCAGCCCCGACCTCAGGTGAGCACCAAAGCGTCTCTGAGAACAAAGCAAGAAGAGAACGGAGGCGGCCCCCCGACCCTGGGACGCACCACGGCCTGGGCTCCCGGTGACACAAGGCCCCTGGAGGGTCCGTGACTCCCAGACATCTTTCATGTTTTGTGGGCTGCCAGCATCTTAAACCTCAGGTGCAGGGGGGAGGGTACCGCTCAAGGGTAGAGCGCATGCTTAGCATGCACGAAGTCCTGGGTTCAATCCCCAGCACCTTCATCAAAAATAAACAAAAAATAACTAAATCTAACAACCTCCCCTCCAAACAAACCAAAAATAAATAAATGAAATTTTTAAAAAAATGCTCAGGTGCAGACGTGTGCCCTGAGTCGGGACGCGTGTGATCCGCTCCTGTCTATAACTTACTGCCCCTCCCTCCCTGCACACTGCTGCTGCGCTAAGATGTCGGACGTGCTTCCTGCTCGTTGTCTGCTTGCCCGTAAAAACCACAGCCCTGGGCTGTGTGCGTGGACCTTGCGTTTCCCCCAAAACGGCCTCGTGCTCAGAGCCTTCTGTCTTGTCCTTTTGTTCAGGAGCGCATCTCGGCTCTGCTCGGGCTGCCGCTGTGGACGAGGGCTGCTCTCCTCCGTCTCTGTCCTCCCTCTCCGCGAAGCTTCTTGTTCCTACCTTGGCCCATCTCAATACAGGGCTGGAATCTTTCTCTCGTGGGTTTGCAGCAGCTCCTCCTGCATTTTGGACGTCGGCTGCTTGCTGGCTTTAGATACTGCAAACGCATCCACGCAGACAGGAACCTGCTGGTTAACTTTCCCACGACGTCCTGAGTTAAGCAGACACCTCTTGTTCAATGGAATCTCGTTTCTGCTTTCATGGCTGTGCTGTCCCGGTCTTACGTGAGAAAGCGCTCCCCACCAGCAAGCCACAAGATGCTCTCCAGATCGCCTCTCACAGGCGGGAGGTGGGGGCCGAGATAAGGTGCCGGCCAAGCCCTTCCCGGTTCACGTGGCAGACAGGCGGGGAGCAGACTCCCTGGGGTCTCTTCTCAGCAGGGCACTAATTCCATCGTGGGGGCCCCACCCTCGTGACTTGATCTAAACCCCAGCACTTCCCAAAGGCTCCACCTCCAAACACCACCACCCTGGGAGTGAGGGCTCGCACAGCTCTCGTGTGCAGACTCAGTCCATGAGGAAGGGGATCTGCTTTGTTCTTCCCCAGAGTGAGACAATTTTCCCAACGACGCCCACCGATCACCCCAGCCTCACCCTGGCACACTCCATGGCACACGCTCTGTGGGTTTGCTGCGGGCTGATCTGTGTGTCCCCCCCAAATCCACGTGAAGGTCGTGCAAGGAGATGGGCAGCTTCCTCTTGTTTTCTGTTTTCTGGAGCAGCTCATTAAAGTCAGGATGGACGGTGTGCCGAAGTTTGGTGGAATCCACTCGTAAACCCTTCGGGACCTGGGCCTCTTTGGGAGGAGAGATCCTTGGTCACCATGTAGTGTTCTTAGTGCTTACCGGACCCTCTGTGCACCAACACTGGCACTGTTTTCAAAGTTACCTCCCAACATTTAAAAATTGAGAGTGATAAATATCCAAATTTTGGATTTTTTTGGAGAAAAAAGGGGACGACCCAGCCACATGGGACCCCACACAGGGTCACAGAGCAGGAGCTCAGCCCACTCTCCACCCGGCTGGGGGCCCAGGCTCTCTGTTGGCTGCAATTCCCACGTCACCTGAGTCCTGACGCCCAGCCTCTGTGTCTGCAGCCCTTGCCCGGGGGGGCTCACTGTCCCATGGGATGGACGTGTGGGGCTGCATCACAAGGGGCAGGGGTCAGCCCTGTGACAAATGCCCCTTTGATGGCAACCCAGGGACCCTGTGCCACCCCTAAACTTGCCTGGAGGGACCCAGGAGCTGACTCTCCAAGGAGTTAACCCACCCGGGAAGCAGGCGTAGGATCAGGCCTGCACTCAGCACCGTGGGAGGTTAACCAGCATGACCATGCCCTTGGAACAGTCCCTGTCGGGGGCTACCAGGGTCATTCCTGCTGGTTCCAAACCCTGTGCACACAGCAGCTCCAAGCCCCTTCTCCCAGCCCCACTAAGATGCCCAGACTCATCTTGGGATCCCCGGGAATGATGCCAAAGGAGACTCCGCACCCCTGATCTTGGCCAGTCTCCTGATCTAGTTATGGCTTTTTTATTCTTTTATTGGCTTACATTTCTAATATGCTGCGGAACTGCTGCTGCAGGTGGCCTGAGAGGTAAACACCCCCTGCCCCACCCCTGCACAGAAACCTGCAGAGGCAAACAGGTCGGACCAGTTCTCAGAGCCAAGGCCACCCCAGTGCAGAAGACAGGGAGGGAGGGTGCCCACAGCCAATCAGAGCTGCATCTGCCCCCAGCACCTGACCCCCTCCCAAGATGGGGCGCAGTGTAGTGGGGGAGACCCCTGCACCACAGCCCCACATAAAACCTGCCCCCCCAACTCCAACCATCTATGAATATGGGGACAGGGGAGGAATTCTTGTGATTTTAAGCAAAAGCGCTGTGACAATGAGCACAGGACCACCTCCAGTCATGAAGGAATCAGACTGCATGAGCACTTCCAACAGTTCTGAGTTTCTACGTCTTTAAACGTCTTACTTTGAAAAATGTCAAACTTTCAGAAGCATGTTGGTGGTGGGATGTCAGAGCCAGGATGTGTGTTTATGCCCCAGGCTGGTGATCACATAGCAGACACTCCAGCCACAGGTCTGCACAGAGTGCACGTGTGTATGTCTGTGCATGTGTGCACGCTGTGTGCACGTGTGTGTGCATTGTGCACAGTGTGTGCACGTGTGTTGACAGGGACCAGGAGGGAATTATGAATGATGGAAACATTAACAAAGAGGCCCCACTAAATGCAGCAAACGTGTCCAAGTGCTTCCTAACGTGTTTCCCAACTTCCAAACGATGCCCCAAAGGGTAAGTGCACCCGACATCCGTTCCTCCCCTTTAGAAACGGTTCTCAAAGCCCCGCCGCCTTTGCCTTGGAAGCGTGTCTCTCCGTTGCTGGTCTGCACTCACGGTCAGCGCTATTCACGTTCTGGGAACCAGCCTGGATCCGCGGGGAATACTCCAGCGCAATGGGCACCGCGGTGACATTCTGTTCTATGCTGCCTGTCACAGCCGGGGTGACAGAGGGGCTTCCGTCTGCTAGGAGCCGGCACCCCAGACAGTGTCCTGGTTCATGTTTAGACTTTTCCACTGTTTGGGTAAAAGCTCGCTACATTTCTCTATTGACGGCAAGTTTCCAAATAATTCTCTTTAAACAGCAGTAACTCAGGCGTAGCTGTTTACTTGGGGGCGTGAGCCCGCCTGCTCCTCGCTGGAGCATTGCAAGCGTGGTGTTTACAAATCCCCGGAGCCTCTGCCGCAGGGGACCTGGTGCCACCTCGTCCGTGGCTGGTTCCTCATCCGCGACGCCTGGCGCTGGAGAGAAGCACGCAAGCGCCCAGGACCCTGCGGGGAGTGCGGCAGGGAGCCCAGGAGCGGTCCCGCTGAGCCCAGCACACCTGAGCACACCTGAGCAAACTGATACGATGAATCGCACAGCGCCCGCCCTCAGACCACAAGGGAACTAAACCAGAAATCAATAACAGAAAGATAACTTAAAACCTCAAAATATTTGCAGATTAAGCAACACAGGTCTGAACAGCACATGGGTAACAGAAGGAGGTGCAAGAGAAATTGAGACTGTTTTTAACTAAACGAAAA